TACCCCCCATGCCTCAGGTGGCTCCCTCTTCTTTTGTACTTGTGGCCTTGCCCACTCCCCTGTCAGCCACTGGAAACTGGGCCATGTGTCCCTGTCTGTGTTAATGGCTCCACATGATCCCTCCACATGATCCCTGGCCTGCCCAGTAGGCACCGAGCATCTGCTTCAGCACCACCACAAGGTCCATGGAGCAACATTCCTACGAGGCTCCTGGTAGTCAACACAGAAACTGTCAGAATGGAAGGCAAGAAAGACAGCCGCAGCTTGGAAGGCCCTTCGCGTGACAGTGAGGTCTGTCCCGAGGGCTTCTCTCCACCAGCAGCCATGGAAGAACACTGGCATGTTATGTGATTATGTACCTGTGGAGCCTTCCTTCATCTGTGTGGTATAGCTCACCACAGCTGTGAGGTCCCCTAGCCTTAAGGTGGACTGACACCCTGTGGACCGTGAGCTGCCTTGTGAGGCCATGCAGCCCCGTGAGGCCATGCAGTGGAGGACCCCTGTGCTTCTCTCTGCTCTTCTGTTATCACTGGGGTAGGCAGAGTCCCATACAAAGCATTCTTGGCGTTTTCTGATGACTGCAGGCCCAGCTCTGAACTCGGACGCTGATTACTGTCAGCGCAGAAGCATTCTCGGCACAAAGAGCCGGACCACAGAGTGGGGCAGTGGCAGGGGCCCGCAGCACCCTCGGGATGAGACATATCACAAGTTAGACAACAGCAGGGGCCTGGCTGTGAGCCTGTAGCAGCTTTTGGTGGGCTCTGCTTGTGTCAGTCAGGACCCAACTCCATCCACCCGGCACCAGCTAGCGCCCTACAGGTTTGAGATCTGATGTGCAGGGTGCATTAGAATTCCATGGAGGAGAATGCAGCACCTGAAGTGCCTTCTGGACACACTGGAGAGAGGACCCTGGTGCCGAAGCCTGGAACTCGCTTGCAGGCTTGATCAGTGCCTAAAGATGGAGTACCATTCCTGCCATGACCTCTGAGACGCCACGCCTACCTGTGGATAACAATTCATTGCTGTAGCAGCTTCCAATCTCCAGACACAGAGACCACACATCGCGTCAGAGGCCTGCTCCTGAAGTCTGGGAGAGCTGGAACCCTTCTCAGCCCTTCGCTGGCGCCAGAAGCCCTCTGAGAGCTTTGGGTAGCACTTCCCAGAGCTACAGCTCCGTTCTGCCATGGATATCTCCTGCTTGGCATCCCAAGGCCTCAGAGAACTTTGAGTTCCTGTACTTCCGAGGGTTAAACCAGCTCTCAGCCAGCATCCTGCAGCTACCAGGAGCTCAAACCTGTTTCATTTTAATCCAGTGTTGTAATTTGTCCTACCTCATTTACAGTTTATTCCCATGGATTATAAAGCATCTTCATTTGTGGTTTTTGTTGTTTGTTTGTTTGTTTGTTTGTTTTGGGTTTTTGAGACAGAGTTCCTCAGTAGCTATGGAGCCAGTCCTGGACCTGGAGCTCTGTAGACCAGGCTGGTCTTGAACTCACAGAGATCTGCCTGCCTCTGCCTCCCAAGTACTGGGGTTAAAGGCGTGTGGTGTGCCACCACCTCCTTGCGGTACTTCCCATTTGTAATCTCTGTCTGCACACTGCATTCTTGGAGGCGGGTGGGAAAAGAGCCCCGTTGGGGACAGGTTTTCTGCATCTGTTTCACTCCTGGAAGGCCAGCTGCAATGTTCTGGAGACCTGGCTTGCCCCTCACAGTGGGCCTGGGCATCCAGGGAAAGCAGGGTGACAGCTTTTCCCTGTGAGCCATCGTGTGCTAGCCCCTGGCTGACTTAGTGGCTCTTCATCTTGGTTTGTGTCAACAGCCTCCAGAGGGTGTGCCGCGGTGTAGGTAGCTGGGCTCCACCAGGAATTTCCACAAGCTCCTGGTATTTATGGCTGTTGGGTCAGGGCTGCAGTTTGAAGACTGTGCTCTGGAGAAGTGAGTGTAGAATCAAAGTGGGCAGGGACAGAGGGAGTGGGCAGGGCAGGGCTGAGGGCTTAGTCTCCCTGCAGTGCAAGTATTCATTTGAGAGCTGCCTGGATCCTGAGGGTACCAACCTTGGGAATAAATGGCTCTATTTGTGGGTTCACAGGGATGGCTTTGGAAGAAGGGGCTTTATTATAGACCTTCTCTGGGGTGGGCTGTAGGGGTACGGCTCCATGACAGAGTGCATATTCACTATGTACATAGTGTGCTCCATACCAGTGCCACAAGGAGACAAAAAAACCACACATGTGCTCACTCTACCCCAGCCCCCCTGTGCCTCTCCCCTTTTGGGCCAAAAGGATTTGAGCAGCTGTGTAGCCACAATGCCCCCTGTTGTGTTGTCTGGCTTATTACAGCCAGCTGACCATGGGCTGAAACCCTGGAAACCAGGAGCCTAGACAAACATGTCCTAGGTGACTTCCTTGGGTGTTTTTACAGTGCCAGAGAATTAACTAACACGGGGCCATTAACTGCCTGAGTTTTCTCAACTTCGCACCAAGCTTGTCTAGAGACTGCCCAGCTCAGAAGCTGGGAGCTACAGCGTTAGCTGCAGTGTCTCCCAAAAGCACATGTGTTAATGGCTTAGCTCTTGCCCTTGGAACTGTTGGGAGATTGTGGGATAGTTCATTGCAAGGGTCAAATGGGAGGGGTTTAATTGTTATGAGCGTGTCCTTGAGGGGGACTTTGGGTCCTCAACCCCTGGTGTGTTCTTATAGGCTTTCATGAGGTGAGCAGACTCCTCTATCAGGTGTTACACCGAGATGTTCTGCCTGACATAGGCTGAAAGAAGGGCTCCCTAGCCAACCACAGACCAAAGCTTACGACACGGCCAGTCAAAATAACCCTTTCCTTCTGTGTTTCTCTTTCATTAAATTTTAACTCTTTTCTTCCTTCCTTCCTTCCTTCCTTCCTTCCTTCCTTTCTTTCTTTCTTTCTTTCTTTCTTTCTTTCTTTCTTTCTTCTTTTTTGAGACAGGGTCTCTCTGTATAGTACTGGCTGTCCTAGAACTCACTCTGTAGATCAGACTGGCCTCAAACTCACAGAGATCAGCCTGCTTCTGCCTCCACATGGCCCCCAGTGCTGAGATTAAAGGCGTGCACATGAAACACATGACAGTCTGGTTTTGTTGAGACAGGGTTTCATTATGTAGCCTAGCTTGATCTTGAAGTTTGGTCTTCCTTCCTCAGCTTCCCGAGTGCTGGAGTTCCATCATACTGGCTAGTTTTCCTTCCTTCTAAGTTGATTTCCTTTATCTTTTGTTCCAGAATGGACAACTGGCTAACAAGAGAGCCAGGGATGATTCCTTCCTCACACGTTCCTGATGCACATGTCCCTCTCAGCTACTTGCAAGTCCCTACTTGCAGTGACTTCATGAGAGCCCCCCACCCTCTCCTCACCCTTGCATCTGCCTCCCCAAACAGCAGCAGAGATCAATCACACCAAGGATCTAGATTGTCCCCTAATATCCCTCCTTAGCCAGTGACCCCACTTTGAGTCTTTCTGCCTCACTAGTATGGCCATTATGTGGACTTACTGTTTGTCTTAGTTGGGGTTTCTTTTTTTGTGTGTTTTTGTTTTGATTGTTTGTTTGTTTTTTGTTTTTTTCAAGACAGGGTTTATCTGTAGCTTTGGAGCCTGTTCTAGAACTAGCTCTTGTAGACCAAGCTGAGCTTGAACTCACAGAGATCCCCTGCCTCTGCCTCCGGAGTGCTGGGATAAAAGGCGTGTGCCACCACCCCCCAGCTTAGCTGGGGTTTATATTACTGCGATAAACACCATGGCCAAAAGTAATTTGGGAGGAAAGGGTTTATTTGGCTCCACAACCCAGTCCATCATCAAAGGAAGTCAGTGCAGGAACGCCAGGCAGGAACCTAGAGGCAGGAACTGAAGCAGGAGCCAGGGAGGGAAGCATTACCATCTTCCTTGTGTCCTCTTGTTTACAGCTGCCACTGTCCCCACCACAGCATTTTATATGTTGCTATCCTGTCGCTGGAGGGCAAACTCAAGAAGGGTAAGAGCTCTGTTCCCAGAACAGGAACTTAAAGACCTTTGACCACGTCAGAGAATGCCTCAACAGGAAACAGACAGAGGAGAAATGGCCGTAATAGTGAGTCACCCTGGCTCCTACGTGGGTTTAACTTCTGAGCTGAGAAATCAGCAGAGATGGCCTGCTCTGAGCCAGTGTGCTAACAGGGTGGGGCACATACTGGGTGACATATCAGTCTGTTGGGTCTCCAGGGGTGCTAGTATGGGTTAGATTTGGGTGCCCAAATTCATAAAAATGTCAAGGGCACAGAAAGAGGTCACGTCCCCCGAAGAGATTCCATGAGGATTCAAATCTGCTGCTACTGGGATCTTGAACCTTTTTTTTTTTTTTTTTTTTTGAGACAGGGTTTCTTGGTGTGTTTGGAGCCTGTTCTGGAACTAGCTCTTGTAGACTAGGCTGGCCTCGAACTCACAGCGATCCGCTTGCCTCTGCCTCCCAAGTGCTGGGATTAAAGGCGTGCACCACCACCGCCCGGCTCTCGAACTCTTCTAGGCAGGAGAATATATCCTATCATTTCACCTTGAGATAGCCTCACCTCGGCCTAAGGCAGTCTAGAGGACGTGCTCAGTTCCTCTGGAGGGCTGGGTCTGCTCTGAGTCCCCGCAGCACGCGGGTGGGTGGGCTGTCTCTGCATCAGGGTTTCAACTTCAGGGAGCCTGCAGCTGTAGTTCCGCTCCTGGTACCTTTAGATCACAAGTGAGTGCCAGTCTCCGGTGAAATTGGCTAAATCAGCCTGGCCCCACTCAGAGGGTCTAGACCTCTGGGATCTATGCTGGGATCAATGCTGGGATCCCAGGGTGTAGGGGCTGCTGGGGCAGGAGAAGGGCCCTGATTGGGCTTTCTGGAAGTTCTTGGCCTCTGCACTAGGTGAGGCAAACCCAGAAAACCCGCCCCATTCATGAGGCCCCACCCCCTATGGCTCCAGCCCCATCCCCAGCAGACATCCTTCCTGCAGCACACTCTACAAGTGTCCCGCACTCTACTTTGAAGGCGACTCCTCCTCCGCCCCGAGGTCCAGCCCCTACCTCCCGCACCAACCAGAAGAGCCCCAGGCCTCCAGCAAGCCCCACCCTGAAGGCCCCACCGCTTCCCAGTATTACTTTGCCTTTGGCTCAGTTCCCACTGAGGAGTCCGCTGTCCTAGCCATGGCTCGCGCTACCGGACCTGAGCGGCGGCTGCTGGCCATCTACACTGGCGGCACCATCGGCATGAGGAGCGAGGGTGGTGGTGAGTCAGCGTACCCACGCCCTAGGCAGAATGGCCTCAGGGCCTGGTCACTTGGGAGCTCTAGGGCTCTCCCTTGCTGGGGTCGGGGTGAGGGGGGGGACACTTCCTCCCTCCGGTGGCTGGGAGTCTTGAAACCCGGTCCCTGGAAGGGGTGAGGGGCATGGTAACACTTCCCGACCTGAAGTGTCCCGAAGCCAGGGGACACAAGGACAGAAGAGGGAGCTGGGAAAACTGCTCTATTCTGTGCCCAGGGCGTTGGGAAAGATGCTGGAACATTCCACACCTTCGAACCCTTAAAAGAAAGTCCTTGAGGTGTGCTTGCTTCTTTGGGGTGGAGGGTGAGGCACCAGCAAAACTGCTTGCCTGCTCTCTCCCCTCAGAGAATCCTTAGTTTTCCCAAGGTAAGGGCCAAGCTCGCCTGCCCTCTATGAGCTTGGGCACTAGGGTCAAGGTCATCCAGACTGTTGGAAGACCGTCCTCTGACAACGTCCTGCTGCCTCTGGTTGGGACACCCTGGTGAATGCCCCCACTAGCAGGTAGGACCACGGCCAGTTTGCTTGGCCTTCCCCTGAGTGATGGATAAAGTAATGACACCCATTAAGGAGCTGAAGCCTAGAGAGAGGGTCAGGTACTGCCCCTGGGTCCCAGGGTACAGTGGATGTGGTTGGGCTGTGTTGGGGCTGCTCTGAGTGAACTCCTTTGAGAACACAGAAGCTCCTGGAAGGAGTGGCTGCTGGACCCAGGAGAAAGTGTGGCCAGACCAGGAGCAACAGTGCAAGGGGAATGAGGGAGGAGCCAGGAGATGGCTCTGCAGCCAGGCCCGCTCTGCCTCTTGTTGCTTCCCCTCTAGGCCTGACATATGGGCACTTTCAGTCTTGTTGTGCTCAACCGGGATGTCCTAGCTAAGGAACACGCGAACTCTGACTGCAGTCCCACCTGTGGTGACACTGTGCCCCATGCCCCCATGGGTGTTCCCGTGTGTTCATCGTGTGCTAGGCTTCACTGAAAGGCAGCGAGGGCACGGTGGTCAGGAAAGCTACAGACTCTGATGGCCCAAGCCCAGGTGCAGTGAGGTGTGGGTTTTCAGATGGATTAAGATCTTCTAGACCTTCAGAAGCCTGCTCCGTGCTCCGGGGTCTGCGAGGCCTGGGAAGAGATAGTGACTGGCAGGCAGCTACTCTATGCTAGAAGCCCCTTCCTCGGAGTGGCGGACACTCCACCCAAGGAGCTCAGAGTGACCAGCAGTCTTCCCCGCGGAGGTGCAGGCAGCTCCCAGGGCAGCATCTTCTGGCTCAAAGCTGAGGGCTCTGCTCCCAGACCAGCTGCTTCCAGGCCTTCATGGGACCCCACATCCTGCAGCCGCTCAACCGTTCCCTCTTCAGAACAACTTTAGGGAGCCATGGGCTTAGACCCCAAGGACATGGGAGAACTAGAAAAGAGGTCTGGCTTTTGCTGACTGGGACACAGGATCTACATTCATGAACGAGTAGCCAGTGCTGGGACTTGGAGCGCTGGGGTCTGCCTCAGGCGTGGCCGAAGTCACCTCTTCTTCAGAGACAAAGGTGTGAAGTGGCCTTGATTTTCTCTGAAGGGAAAGGTCTCCAGGAGTGGGTAGAACCCAAGGCATGGCAGGTTGAGGATAAACCTATGCCTGAAACCTGAGGCTCAGGCCTGTCCCAGTCTGTGTGCCCAGCTGTGGAGGTTGCTGAACTGTGGGCTGCAGGCCCTGGATGGCCCCACTGGTAGGAATGATTAACCAGCTTGGCCCTGCTTCTGTGGGCCCTGGCCCCTGGTAAGTGGGAGTGGTGGCTTTCGCTGCAGAGGAGCTGTGTAGATTGTCGCTGTTGGGACAGCTTGTGTGTCTGCTGGTAAACACTGCCTAACACTGTGTGGCGAGCCTTGCCAGGGCAGGAGAGGGCAGAGGTACAGCATGGCTCACCTCTTCACCACCCCTTCCAGGGCTCTGTGAAGACGTCACAAGTCAAAAAACAACATGCCGCAAGCCTGGACCCAGGCATGTGTGGGTGACACATGGGCACTGTGTTAGCTAGGGTAGACCTCGCGCCTGCTGCCTTTTGAGCCATTCCTTGCAACCACCACGGAGGGGCAGCCAAGCTTCTGTACAGAGTAGCCAAGGTTGCCTCCTGCCTAGCGGTCACAGCTGGCCCCAACCATAAACTCTTGTCAGTCGGGTTGATGCCCAGTATGATAGTTGCACAGGCCATGACGTGGTTCCAGGTAGGGTGGGGTCAGCATCCTAGGGTTGTACATTTTGGGGGTGCACTCCATAAGAAAAGAATGCAACTTACACTATCAGAGTTAGGTGAAAGTCAGTGTTCACACTGAAAGAAATCACAGCAAATTCCACTTTAAAACACTGTTGCGGAATCCAGAAAAATGGCCTCATTGGTGGCTCCTGTCCTCCGTCACACTTTTTCCCTTCCTAGGACCTTGTCACATGGTAACAAGTTTATGTTCTTTCCTCTTCAGAAAGAAAGACATAGGAGAGTTTAGCTTTCTCATGGCTGGTTTTGATGCTTCCCAGATGCCACCCTTCAAGGTGGGGCTCTCAGTCCGTAGCCCTTCAATCTTGTCCATTCTGACCTCACCAGTGTGCCGTGTGTCCCCAGGAGCCATTGCCCATGGTCAGAGACAACGTGTCCATCATCCCCCAGCCTAAGCACCCATCTCACCTGCCCCGTAGGTGACTTCCAGGTTTCCATGGCTATTCCAGTGCCATCTGCTGTCAGGGGAGCTCACGTGGAGAGCGGAGGTCCCGGTGTCCTGAGACTGCCAACCAACCACATGGAAAGCCTTAGGGTCCGTCCCTCTTTCTGGAGACAAAGTTTAAAGTCTCAAGGCCTTGACAGAGAACTCTTCCTACTCCTCCTCCACCTTCTGGTGGCTGCCAGGGTCTGTCATTCTTCCTGTCTGCAATGCGACAGCACCTCTATTCTGTTTGCTACATTGTCAGGGGACAGTCTCTATGTGTGTCCGTGCTCCCCCAACCTGAACACACGGGCGGTCCTTTCGAGCTGCCCTCCCAGGGTATTAGACACAGTCATACCTCCAGAAACTTAGTCACAAAAGACAAATGTGATCCTGAGTGGCTTGGGTGGCTCCTGCATGTGGAGGCAGGCTGATGTCCTGGTCATACCTGGGGTGGCTCTGGGGGCCCATGGGGCTGACTGGACATTCAGGGTTCATCAGTTTTCTGAGCTCTGTCCATGAAACATTTCCATAAGTGGCAGTGACAGCAGCAGACAGCAGCAACAGCAAACTGCACCCATGAAGTTTTACGAACTCTGTACCATGTTCAGGGGGAGGGGGGCGGGGGAGGGTGCTGGGAGACAAGGGGTGCCTATTGAACCTGGGGGCATGCAGTAGTGGGGAACAGCTTTGTCAGCTCCGAAGTCTGCAGGGCTCCTGACCTGCACCTGGGAGAAATGGGAGCCCTTCTGATTTGTGTTTAACTTGTGACCATGTTCTCAAGAACCAGGTCCAGCCGGCATCAGTAAAAGGCAGGCAGCGGTTGGAGCTGCAGGCTAGCTGGGTACAGGAGACAGGGGTGATCCTCCTATGGGAGGAGGGGCTGGCAGGGGCCTGGGGCTGCCTGGAGTACCCTTATACTTACCCTAAGAAATAGGACATAGCCGAGAGTATACTTGGGGAAGGTGGAGCCCTGGTCAGGTGGTTGGCTGGATGCCCACCATCCCTGCTGACAGGAGGCTGACACAGGCATCAAACCTGCTTGGAGTCTGGCACTCCTGAGGCCCGCAGGTCCGCAAGCAGGGCCAAGCCCTCACCTTGGTGCTCCTCGGCTCCAGCCCCATGTTCTGGGGTGAGTTACTGGCAGTTTGATTCAGGCGTGGTGTGGTGTGGGTAGCCTGCTGGGTCTACTCCCCGCTGGCCCTGACCAGAGATAGGAGATCCTCCCCAGAGCCCTCAGAAGTGTATGTCCTCACAACAGCACGTGTAAGTATGCGGTCTCGTGGCAAAGGCATCTGCAGATGTGAGAAGAGGCCAAGGGAGTCTGGCTTTGAAGATGGGGAATAGGGTAATAGTTGGAATTGAGCCCAGTGGACAAGGGTCCCTATGCCTGCAGCATGTGAGACTGATTCCGTAGTCAGGCCTTGGCTGCAGAAGCTCTGGCGGCAGGTGTAGCATGTCCATCCAATGCTAGGAAATGGTGGCCAGGCTGTCGAAGGACCAGGGTGTCGGCAACGGTGATGCCGCCATAGGAAAGGGTCTAGGCAGCAGAGACTGAGGCTGTGACTCAGTGACACCCAGGACTGCCACACCACTGCCTCCTCCCAAGGTCCCATGTGCTTCTCTGGGGACTTTTTTGTCTTCACTGCTGTGCGCAAGGATCAGGCATGAGGGGCGTCTCACATGGGCCTTGAGAGAGGACTGCCTGAGGTTACCCAATCTGCCCAAGGTCACAGAGCTAGCCGAGGGCAGCGTAGAGCGACAGCTGGGACTTCGCTCTTGTCTCCTGGGACTTGTTTTCTGCCAGGCAGTAGTGCCCTTTAGGGTGTCCTATGAGCAGGGTTCACACTGTTCACCTAGATCCAGGTTTCAGGGATTTCTAATGCTGCAGGCTGGGTTGGGGCATTTGTGTGCTTGGCTCTCTTTTAGGGGACAGTGCCGGGGCCTAAGCTGGACCTTGGAGGAGTTGTACACAGTCCATACCCTCTGGAAGCCTTGAGCTGGTCAGGGGGCTAATGGGAAGGGCATTATGACCTTGGCACCAGAGATGACTTCCCAGAGGGGTTCCCAGAGGGCCTTGAAGTACCTGTTGAATGAGAAATGGGGACAGGCAGGGGCAGTGCCAACAGGTGGGGGTAGAATTGTGAGTGTCCATGACAGTCCCTGAGTCCAGTCCTGGAGGGGGTCTGGCCCGATGGACTCCTCTTGGTGCGGCGTACAGACAGATTTGGTACAAGCAGAGGCAGGATGGGGCAGAGTGGTGCTTAGCGCTGCTGGGACTGCCTGGGTTTGAGACCAGAACTCAATCAGGAGTCAGCTCCAAAGGACAGTGCCAAAGCTTCCGGATGAAACTGTTACCTAAGTTCCCAGGGGCCTTGGTGGCAGCTGTGGCCCAGCCCAGCCGAGGCCTGGCCCCTGCCGCAGTCCAGGACCTGACACCCAGGAAAAAGGGATGGAGGTCTGACTGTGGGAGTTGGTACGGCCTTGGTCTGGAGCCCACACTCTGCTTGGACTCTGCCTGCAGTGCTGGTACCTGGGAAAGGCCTCGCTGCTGTCCTGAGGGCGCTTCACATGTTCCACGATGAGGAGTACGCCCAGGCCCACCACCTGCCCGAGGATACACTGGTGCTGCCGTGAGTGCACGTACATTCTTTCGGGCCCAAAGCAGGGACGGTGTGCAGCTCTCCTGGGGTGGAGAGGGTAGACAGGGCCTGAAGCCAGAGGGTACAGCCTCTGTTGTCCTGGAACTCCCATGTGAGCCATCTGCATGAGACATCCCTGACACTTCTTGAGCTCCTGGACCTTGTACTGGAGGTGGCATGTGTACTGCGTTGTATCTGCGGCTCAGCGCACTGCCTTCCACCTCTCCTCCCCACTAAGCTGAGCCCGCGGGGCCAGGAGTAGAGGAAGCTCTAGCAAGCATGGTGAGGATACCCGCGTCTAGGTACCAAACCTATAAAGAGAGCCGGGGCTGACCCAGGGGCCTCTCCCTCTCCAGCATGGCTGTCTTGTGTATCCTCGCTGTACTCAGCTACCTTACGCCCTTCACAGCTGAGCGAGGTCGACGTCTGCTCTACAGGAGTAGGTCTGAACTGGTGTAGGGGGTGACCCTGCTTAAGGCCAGCCTGTCTGCCCAGTCTTTGTCCCTGAGAACTCTAGGTGGAAGGGAGGCTGGTCTTGAACACACAATGTGAGACTTGCCTATGAGGTGGAGCCCATCCACACTTATCACAAAGCCCCTTCCACACGGTGGGGGATGGGGTTGCCAGGCACAGCCCCAGCCATATCCCAACACCCCACAGTCTACTCCCTAGCCCCATCCAGGATGCCACAACCCCGCCCATACCCTAGCTGGAGAGGGCAGTGGAGGTGGGGCAGCATGGGAGACAGTTTCTGCCTTCTGCAGCCCGGCCAGTCCTGATCAGAGGATCCTCTACACGGTGCTGGAGTGCCAGCCACTCTTCGACTCCAGTGACATGACCATCACTGAGTGGGTTCAGATTGCCCAGATCATAGAGGTAGAGGGTGAGAGTGTGGGCGGGGCTATGAGGCGTGGGTGGGGCCGGAAGGCTGGATTGGACTGGAAGGTGGCACTCTAGCATGTGGGCAGGGGGAGGTTAGGGTGCAGGAGGGGCTGGAATATGGGAGGAACAGGGATATGGGAAGGGTGGGGTGTGGGAGGGGCTGAATGTGGGTGGGACTGGAGGGCAGGGCAGGCTCCCTGCAGAAGCACTGGGTAAGTGAATAACTGTGGGCTTGTGGTCGAGTCTGTCTGTCCACCTGAGATCTGGCGGTGACCTACAGGGCAGCGCAGCCTCAGGAAAGTACTGGGTCCTGGGCCACACACTGTGCACAGTCTGTCACACGAGTAGAGGCTGGTTGCTCATACTATTGGCCTGTTCCAGTTAGTAATGTGGGGTCTCACAGGCTTTGTGGGCCTGACTCACCCCCACGATCCCAACCTTAGAGTTGCCTTTCTGCTTTACCCTGGAGCCGCCCCCGCCCTCCTTAGCTTGCCTCTTCTCCCAGGCTCCCAGACCTAGCTAAGTGCAGGCCTCTGAACAGGGCATTCTGGGCTCTGCATCCTCTGACTGGCCCCAGTCATATACTTGTCAGCTACCTAGAAGACAGCCGCCCCTACTGCCAGCTCTGAGTTGCCCATTTCAGGAGCAAGGCCATTAGTGGGCACTTCCAGACTAGGTTGTGGTGGCTCAGGGCCATCTTCCTCACTTGTGACTGACAGGGTCTCAGGCTAGGTCCAGGTGGTGTTTTTCTGTCGTGAAGCTAGGCAAGCCATCTTCTGGGCCCCGACCCAACTGCCTGGTGCTCTTCATAGCAGGCCGCTAAGCCGCTGTACCTCATATGGCCAGCAGAGGGCACTCCGCTCCACGAGACTTGCTAGCTCCTGTGTTTTGTCTTTCAATGAGTCAGGAGGCTCTGGCAGGAGCCTCAGCCCTCAGAACTGTTGTCTTGGCAGCCATAGCTTTGGCTAGCATACCACCAGGAAGTGATGGTCAGAGGTGTCCAGCATGGACAGTTTGCTCCTGGGAGGCACCAGCTGGAAGTCTGTGGAGCTGTTCCCAGAAGTGTCCAGAGTTCCTGGGACCCACATTCCCTCATTCTTTAAAGCGAGTTACAGGGACTCCAAGCAGAGACTGACCTTCCAGACAGGGCCTGCAGGGGGAGATGAAGTGATGCCACACCAAGCCCTCTGCCAACATTCAGGCCTTTCCTCTTTCTCATGGCCTGTGAGGGGGTAGCTGCCTGCCACCATGTTCCCCGGAGAAGGCCTGTGGTCGAGAGCCCTGGTCCGCCCTGAGATCTTCCCTTTCAACAGAGACACTACACACAGTACCAGGGCTTTGTGGTCATCCACGGCACGGACACCATGGCCTTTGCCGCCTCGGTGCTGTCCTTCATGCTGGAGAACCTGCAGAAGCCTGTGATCCTCACCGGGGCCCAGGTAAGATGTCTCGGCGGCACAGAGCAGGCCTTGACCAGCCCTGGCTGCTGCCTGGGCACCTGTTTCCAGCACTATTCCTGCGGTGTGATTCCAGTTAGGGTCTCTCTAGACACTTGAGGCGTTGGCCCTGCCTGGAGTTGGCCACTTCACTCCTGCTGAGCTCCTACAGTCCCTGAGACAGGGGACCTACTGGCTCCTGGAGGTCTTGTCCATTGAGGCCTCAAGAGTACCCAGAGCTGAGCCCCTTATAGCCCTGCCACGTGGGGTTTCCTTTCTTTCCTCTTCTCCCTAATGGCTTCTTGTCTGCTACCACCTAAGACTCAGCATGGTAGACGCACACTGAGCAGTACAGGGGGAGACTCCCTCACCCCCAACCCCGTTCCTCTTCTCTCTGTTGCTGTCCCTAGCAACCCTCACATATGACATCCCCTTCTCTTGTCCTAACCTGCTGTGCCCTTCCCCAAACCAAGGTCAATGGAATGCTATGGAAAACAACTCTCTGAGTGAAGGCTGTCTTGGGGTTTCTGATACTTATGGGTGACCATTAGAGCGATCCTACCCAAGTCCTTCACAATCCTTCATGGGGCAGAGGCCAAGACGTCTGAACAGGGTCCTTTTGAACACAACCTGAGGGAGGTTCCACCAGGCAGGCGTGGGCCCAACTGGCCCCCACGGGAGACCTCTTGCCAGAGTGCCAGGTGCTGTTGGGAGTGGTGGCTCAGTCTCTCCCTTTCCCCAGAGAAGCACATAGTACAATAGCCCGACTTGGAGAAGACCCATGACAGCATCCTAGCCTTTGTTCTTCCCAGGGGCAGTGAGGTCCAGTGTGCTTAGGCTCTCCCCTGCTTGTGCACCGTAGGAGGATGCACAGTGCACCCCCAGAGGCTGCACTGACAACTGCCTGACCATTCTCCGGCCAGAGTCTCTCTGCATGTCCCGCTTCAGTCCTGCCCGCTGTGTCCTCTTGGGCACTGCTCAGCCGCTCCCAGCGTGATCTGTGGCACACGTAGGCAGTGGAGAGACAAGCCAGACTACCCTGCGTGCCTCAGGAAGGACACTGTCCAGCAGCCCACCCAGCTGCTGCTCTGGGTCCCCTGCCTGGCTCCCAGCTCTTGGGGTAGTGAGGAAGCTGGGCTTTGCAGCCGTGTGGACCGGGGGCCAGAACTGGACCGGGGTGCCTCCTGGTCGCTTCCCCTCTGTGGCAGCCAAATGGAGAGGTCAGGGTGCTCAGAGAAGGTTGGCACTGTCAGAAGAAACGCCAGGGCTTCCCAGCCCTGGGAGTTGGCTAACTGCCCCAGACCCCATCTCAGCTTCTCTCCCTGCCTGAGCCTGAGAGGTTTCCAGGAGTTGGGGAGCCAGGTATGTCCTGGCTTCCCAGGCCTCAGACACCTCTCTGACATCTCCCCAGGTACCTATCCATGCACTGTGGAACGATGGCCGTGAAAACCTGCTGGGGGCTCTGCTCATGGCTGGCCAGTACATCATTCCTGAGGTATCTGGCCTGGTTACAGGAGCGGTCTGGGTGGATGGTGGGACAGTGAATGTCAGAGAGCTTGTGGTTCTGGCCCACGTGGGGACCCACAGGCCGGAGGTTGGAACGGTCTTGAAAACATGTGACCTTCACATGGAATTGACAAAACTAAGGAAAGGAAGCGGTCCCCCACCGACACTCATCAGCAGCCAGGTTTTATGTTGTAGATATTCTACACTTGTGTTGTATACATATACGTGAGTCCATGGAAGTGGACTGTGCCCACCTTAGCCTATGGAGTCTGTTGTGGCCCTCCTCATGGGCTCCCTGCCTCACCTGGCAGAAGAAGAAGAAAGACAGGTGGGTCTCTTATAGGCCAGGAGTCGCTTTGTCTTTAGCAGTCCTGGAGACTGGTGGTGTTAGGGTTAGGCATTAGGGAAGAGCAGCAGGCAGGTCAAAGGTCACGCCCAACCTCCTTCACCCTAGAGGAGTCTCTGCAGTCACTGGCTCCCCATACATGGGATCTGAGCTCAGCAGCACCAGCGGAGAAGTGCTGGCTGGAGAGCCAGGGCCTCCCTCAGCCGTCTGTGCACTCAGTGCCCAGGCTTCCAGGGTCGCAGAGGACTGGGGCCTTCACTGGGCAGGTATTGGCTAGAAGGACCCTGCCTGCTGGTTACCTTCCAGGTTTGGTGTGTTGGTGGTGGGGGGGTTGGGGAGAGCTGGAGGATGTCAGGGGCCAGCTCTGAGTTGTTGTCTTTCCCTCCACAGGTCTGCCTATTCTTCCAGAATCAGCTCTTTCGGGGCAATCGGACAACCAAGGTGGACGCTCGGAGGTTTGCAGCCTTCTGCTCCCCCAACCTGCCCGCTCTGGCCACTGTGGGTGCAGATATCACAAGTAAGGGGATCTGAAAGCAGGGCCTGCTACCTGGGAGTGAGAAGGGGGACCCTGGAGTCTTCTTGTGTAGAGGTGAGAAGCCTCTGTGACGAACATAGGCTCAGAGCTGGGGTGTCTGACTCTTGTGGGTACTGTCACACCACATGACCCCCAGCCGGAAGTCCCTCTCTGTGACAGTCTGTGGCTCTGCTACACACACTGCTCCTTCTGAAAACCTAGCTTTTTGGTCCTGGGGCTTCCATAAGGGCATAGCAACTCCTTACCCTAAGTGTGGGCAGCCTCTGATGCCAGTCGGGCCTTGACTCTAGTGGCCCCAGCTTTTCCATCTTAGATATAAACCTGAAGGGCCTCCGTCTCTCCGAAATCGGGGCATCTGCCTCCTGGTCCTCCAGGCCTGTCCTGTTCAGGTGTAAGTCTGATCCTGGGACAGGTACACTATTGCCCACTGGCGCCTGATTCTCGAGCACCCGGACCTGCCTAGTAACTGAGGTTCTGGTCCCTGACCTATTCTCTGTGTAGTTCTATCCCAAGACCTGTCTCAGGCAGGTGCTTTCGGGGATGATCTTCCACCTGGGAGTCTTGCACCTAGTAGGACTGGGCTCCATGTGCTTGATCAGGTCGGGTTGTCAGTCTAGAGCCAAAGCTGCTCTTCTGACAGGACAACTGACAGGGTCTCCGCTCTCTAGGAGGGCGGCGGCAGCTCTCACCCACACTGTGCTTCTGCTGGAGCACGGCAGGTCCTGTGGGTGGGACACAGCGTTGCTGGGACCTGCAGGTGTCTGTTCTTGGTATTCTTCCTGTGTATCAGAAGCTGAGGTTCAGGAGTAGACCCTCCAGAAAGGGTGGGGCTACTACTTCCTCAAAGCCTCCTCTCTTCCCTACCTGACAGAACCAGGGTCTCAGCTCATCCTGGCTTCCCACCTGCATGCTCTTTCCTGCCACCCACCTGGAATCTTCTAGGCAGTGAAAATCCCCAAGCCTGCACCCCAGTGGCTCTGGGGTGGCAGAGGTCCACTTGCTATCTGGGGTGGGACCTGCTGAAGCTTCTTCAAAGGGCCTGCATTAGATGGGACCTGTGGTAGTCTGACTATTATCCCATGTTGGCACCAGTGGCCCAGGGAGGGGAGCAGCGACTGTGGGCACTGCCCTGCAGCTCAGCTCTCCAAGCCTGAGTCACTTCTTACCCGGGCTCAGGGTTGGAGCGTCCTGTGGGCAGAGAGGCCTTCACCCTGAATCTAAAAGCCTCTGCCATGCTGGGACACCTGGACTGCAAGCCCAGCCCACCCACCGGTAGCTTCCCTAGCCCAGAGCTGAGGCTCACTCTCAGTGCCAGCCCAATATCCTGATGTACCGTCCTGCGTGTGTGGGTGTGTGGGAACCTGCACCTCCCCTTCTTGCTATTGTCAGGCTGCCCAGCCGGTTCTGACACCTCATGTTGAGAAATCTGGGGTTCTGCTCAGGGTGTGGCAGTGGGGCCCTGGGACAGAGTCCTGATGATCTCTGCGACGCGGGCCTCCCACAGGCTGCCGCCGGCACTTCATATATCTTCTGGGACGTGAGGGGAGCCGGGGACCATCCCTGAGCTGGCCTGCTTATTCCTGTGTGTCTGTGCCACCCCCGTTGTCCTTACTCCCAGTTACTTCTTCCAGATCTGCCTCTGCTGGGAAGCCCTCCCATCCCACCGGAGCAGAGGAGCTAAGGGAGGGTTCTCTCCTGCTGGGAAGGTGCCCCTTGATCTTGTTGCCCACTGGCTAGGAGTCTTTTTGCCATGCCTTTGACACACAGACACGTGGAACTCGGTGCCCTTCTGTTCATGGGAGCCCCCTGTCTCCCAGAAACCACCAGGCCACCTGGGATACTAAGGCCAAGGGCAGACCTGACGACCAGGTTAGGTATGCAGGGGCTATTAAAGCGCTGACGTGGCAGCCAGGGTGAGTCACTGCTGCCTTCCCCTTTATGTTCCAGAGTCCCCGTGGGGAGGACTTGAAGATCCTAAGGAGAGACTTCCTGACTCATAAGGAGGGTGGCTGTCCATGGGGCAGTCCTTTGTCTCATGCAGCCCTTCTCTGCAGCCATAACTCTTCTGGTGGCAACCAACCCCCACCCCCAAACCTTATCTGCCTGCCCAGCTGAGATGCACAGCCCTAAATTAAAGGACATCTCATGCTGCCATTGTGTGAGCTGATAGATGCCGTAGCTGGTCGGGTGGGCAGCTCGCTTGAGGACCCTGCTCCCTCTCCTGCCCCTCCTTCCCTCATCCCTCACCCCTCAGTGTGTGTTCAGAATATTGTCCAGTTGATTATCACATGTGACCGCTCTGGCAGACACAGCAGCCAGGCCTCCTGAGTCGATGACCCCTACACTCTGCACCGGGTCAGGGGGACAGCACATGGGCAGTTGTGGAGGAGGTGCCTGACTTCTGTGCATAGTTCCTCAAGGGAGGCCATTCCTCTTTCCAGGACTTAGTTTTCCTGGGCTGAACTGGAGGACCCCGGGTGCCATTTAATACAGGGAAGTCACCAACATCCCATCTCTGTTGGGCTGGAGGCATCCGAGTGGCCAGATTCATGAGGTGCAAGGGTTAGTTTGCCATGCTTATTCATGCCCACGGTTAGGTCCTGGGCATTGACCTTACAGTGACCTTTGACCCAAAGGACAAGGTACTCATCTGGAAGGTCACCTGTATGACTGTGCTCAAGGGATGCTGATCCCATGTTCCTGCTGCTATCTTTCCTCCCCGGCCTGGATGTGGGAGGGATGATGGGCACCGCTAGGACCCCAGAATTTGGGGGGTAAATTTGAAGGTGTTTGTTGAGAAGATCAATTAATTTACTTGGTAGACAGTGGGCATAGGAGGTCCCCAGTATGCAGCAAGAGGGCCACAGCTAGGCTGTTTGTCAGAGGACGCGGCCTGGCCTTCCCCTGGGACTAGCAGACTGCAACTCCAGTCTTAGCACATGCCAGTCCCTTTGCTGGGAGTTCTGCGCTCCACATACACTCTTCTTCAGCACAGGCTGGCTTGTCTGCCCTTCTCCCTCATCCGTCAGCCATGATCCCCAACCCTCAGCCCCATCACCCTGGTCACCACCTGTATTAACACTGCTTGGCTAGTGATCTTTCTCCTGACACCTCCTCCCAGCCCATGGGCTTGCTGTGGAGCCTGGCATCGGCCTGAGGGAGACCAGGATGGGCAGAGAGGGTGGGCAGGGGACCCTGGAGGCGAGCTGGGCTGCAGCCGCCTGTGACCTGCAGCTTTGACTCTTGTTCTCTGTCCTCAGTCAACCGCGAGCTGGTACGGAAGGCCAGCCAGAAGGACCGTCTTGTGGTGCACAGCAGTATGGAGCGTGATGTGGGCCTGCTGCGTCTTTACCCTGGGATCCCTGCCTCGCTGGTAGGGAAGCCTGAGGGCCTGCCGCCGTAGTGCTCTCCACAGCTCCCATGCCTCCCAGGGCCCTCCAGGGCTATAGACTTCTCCCGCTGTCTCAGCCCTTTCTCAGACTATGGTCTACAAAACATGTCAGCCTACCCGTTTGTGCACCTTTCTTTCTCAGCTGGACTCAGCTCTTCCTGGGCTGACGTCTAGTCTGCTTGGGTGCAAGGCTGAGCACTTACGCCAAATGTGGGCTTCTTTGTGTGGACACTTGATGTGGGAGTGGCCGCAGAACCCCACTTTCTACTGCTCCTGTTTTCCTTTCAGACAGGGTCTTAGCCTGTAGCCCAGGCTGGCCTGTGTGTCCTCTTCCTGCCTCAGCCATGCTCGATCTCTGCCTCTTCTTGTCATGTTTGTGGCCCTCCCCCGCTTCCTGTCATCAGCCTCTCAGTACCAGCTGTTCCTTTGGTGACTGGCGCCTCCCTTACCTGTTATACAGGATGCTGGGCAGACACAAAACTGTCCTCTGTTCTTTGAATGGAATTGTCTAGCCTGGGGGAGTCTGGGCAGGGCCCTGTCTAAGGGCCTTCAAGTGTCAGGAGCCCAGCTCCTCCATGCTAGCACTAGAGGGGTAGGGGGATATCAAGGCTCAGCTCTCCCCACAGTCAGAGAGAGCCAGGCTACCCTGAGAGGGAAGTCAGACAGTTGGGAAGCCAGGACAAGCCCTGTTTGCTGTTCTTGCTGGCTAGAGCTCCCCCAACCTGTGTCCTGCCTACACAGGTCCGGACCTTCCTGCAGCCCCCACTGAAAGGGGTGGTCATGGAGACCTTTGGCTCTGGGAATGGGCCCACCAAGCCAGACCTACTGCAGGAGCTGCGGGTGGCATCTGAACACGGCCTGATCATTGTCAACTGTACCCATTGCCTTCAGGGGACTGTGACTTCGGACTATGCGTCTGGCATGGTAGGGGGAGACAATGGGCCTGGGGAAAGGTAGTGAGACAGCTTGTGTGTCTGGATTCCGCTTCCCCTTAGCCAGGGGAGGTGTCTGACCCAACCTCCTTCTGCCCTCTCACAGGCCATGGCAGGAGCTGGCATTGTTTCAGGCTTTGACATGACATCAGAGGCTGCCCTGGCCAAACTGTCCTATGTGCTAGGCCAGCCGGGGCTGAGCCTGGATGACCGGAAGAAGGTGTGTATACCCATGAACTATTCCAGGAACTAGAGCACCTCTGTGTGCACATGCGTGCCTGCTGACTCCTGAGGGCTCTTGGGGTGGGCCAGGAGTGCTTGTGTCTGTTTTGGAAGTGGAAGGCGAATTCCCTGTGGGAAGATAGGGCCAGTGCTGATCCAGGTCACCCAGTTCACACCGGGCCAGTGCTGATCCAGGTCACCCAGTTCACACCGGGCCAATGCTGATCCAGGCCACCCAGTGCACACCCTTACCCTCCTCTGGGTTCTGAGTACCAGTTCAGCTCCCCTACCCCATTGCTCCTCACACCCTGTCCTGCTTCCTGCTTCCTCCTTCCCAGGTGGGACTCAGACTCACAGGGCTCCAGGCCCCTAGGCTGCCAGACCCTGAGGCCTTAGAAAACCCTGAGCTTATAGAAAAGGGGGCAGTGTTAGCCTTCTTTGGGGGATTGGTGGGGTCACACTAAGCCCTTGTATGGGTAGAGCACTGAGGTGGCCTGCCAGCCCTGTGGCAGGCCCATCTCCCTGCCAGGGGGATCCGGATCCTCTCAGCTGGTCAGGACTCCCTGGTGCTGTGCCGCCCCAGCCTACCAGCTTGTGTCCTGTTCCAGCTGCTGGTCAAGAACCTTCGTGGGGAGATGACACGGCCTGTGACAGATGAGCACCAGTCCCTGCTGCAAGATGGCATGCTGGGCCGCCGGATAGCATGGCTTCTCAGTCTGAATGGCAGCCAGGTACTGGCTGCGGTGTGGGGGAGTGGCGGGGCCTGAACACCCTCATGGGATGGCAGGACCCACCATCTACTGCCACTGTCCTGGCACAGGAGGACCAGGAAGGAGGTGCGGGGTGGATGATGAGGATTTGGAGGGATCATAGGATCATAGGATCATAGGAGCTGGGGAAGGGGCTTGTCTGCTGTGTGGAGGTAAGAGATGAGAGCGCCTGCCGCCATAGCCTGTCAGTGCTGGCTTGGAGCTCAGATTGGGGTGAATCTAAGCAAGGTGAGGGTGCTGTCTGTCCTAGGTGTTGAATAGTCGGGGCTGACTGGGGTCTCTTCAAGACTTTGAGCTGGGGGTTCTAGGCCCCACACCTGCACCTTGGAGTGTGGTCTGATTTCCCAGCTTCCCTCTGCCCTCAATACTTGAGTGTCTAGACCCTGGAGGGCGTGGGGAAGCTGAAGACCCAAGAGCCTAGGAGGTGGCCCCTCCTAAGCAGCCTTATGAACCAGCTGGTTAATTGCTCCATGCTGGCTGTGGGCGGTGACCTATCATTAGGGGGTGGCTGTGTGAGGTTCCTAAACCCTCGAGGGCCCAGCTGGCCAGAAGCTATTGCAAGGCTGTGATTAAGCCAGCCGTGGACGCTGGACAAAGTGGCACTTTGAAGGCCTTCTGGGACCTTGGAGAGCCTTTGGGCAACTGGGTGCTCCCAGAATATTATACCTGTGTACTCAGACCCTTTTGGTGGATGTACAGGGGCGGGGCTGCACCATTTCCCATGCTCCCTTAAGGATAACTTGACTATCATCCTGTCAGCAGCAGAGGCAGAAAATTAAACACATTTGGGGGGGTCAATGGTAGTTCTGAGACAGCACATGAAGGGAACCTGGTGGTAGCCTGGTGACCTGGTCTTTTTTTTTTCCAGGGCATGGGGACAGGTGGGTTTGTGGGTGGGCACGAGGCTCCTGCCAGAACTCTCCAGTGGGGGCAGTTCTGGCGCTTTCCTTATGTAGTGAGATCACCTGCCCCTGTGTGTGGAAAGTGGAGTCCACATAGTCAGGGAACTGTGGGTGCTGTCTGCTGTTACCCTGTAAATGCTTAGGGCCTCAAAGCACAGCGGTGGCCCATGTTGCCATTGCCTTCCCATTAGGAGGCTGATGCCATGCAGGATGTCCTGACGTCCAGCCTGGCCCTGGCTGCAGCTCATGCTGGTGACCTAGACACTCTGCAGGCCTTGGTGGAGCTGGTGAGTCTCCTACTGAACTAACAGGTGGGACATGGTTCACATGGATAGAACATTCTCCCCAGGGCCTCACCAACCCTCCGAAGCCACACTGAGCAGTGGGCTTACATACTAACCCGAGGGCCTCGCTGGAAGTGAGTGGAGCTATAAACCACACTTTTATCCTTCCCAAGTCTCTGTGGCCCACCTGACCTTGTGTGGCCCTTCTGTGAGGTTGTGTGTCTTGTGTCACCCTAGGGCAGAGACCTCAACCTGAAGGACTCTAGTGGTCAAACCCCACTGCATGTGGCTGCACGGAGGGGCCATGCTGCCGTGGTCACCATGCTGCTGCAGAAGGGTGTGGATGTGAATGCCCACAATGAAGATGGCCATAGCCCACTGTTGCTGGCCGTGAGGGGCAGGTACTAAGGGCCTGGATGTGGCAGGTAGTATGTGGACCAGGCAGGAAGGCCAAGCTACACTGTATGACCCGATTGGGGTGCCCATCCTAGAGCTGAGAGCAGTATCGGGTGCAGAGGGCACATGTGCAGTGTCGGGGGCGTCCTCCTGTGATCTCTCCTGCGGTACACATGGAGGCAGCTTGTCATGTGGTGTGGCTCTGCCTGGCAGAGTCATCTCCACCAGATCCGCTTCTGGGTTTCTCACAGCATCACACAGCCTGCAGACCCTGGGATTCTTGGGGAGGGGGTTCTGTGGGATGCTCACGGGTGTCTGTACTACTGAATCCCCTGCCCCAGCAGGCAGTACCCCCTCTAGGTTTGACTCAGCCTGATTGGCTCAGGAAATGGCTTAGGGCCCAACTAGACCCCACTGTTCATGTCTGTCGGCCATAACTCATCCACCAAGGGTGGAGTTGGGGCACAACTGACTTGGTTTCTCCAGATCCTATCCTGTACCTAATCAGAGAGGTCACTTCAGGTGTGTAACAGCGGGGGCTGACTGACTGAGGGTAGGAAGTTGCCTTCTGGGGTGCTGTTCCCAGCTGCACCGGGAGACCACCTGTTCAGCCAGCCGACTAGCACCTTGTGACTTGGGACAGCCTCTGGCCCCAGACATGCTGTGAAGGTGCCCTGGACCTTGAGATGACACCCACCCTAGTGTGGGCAAAGAACCAAGGGACAGTGCTTATCTGGAACTAGGCTGTGGGGGTCTGGGTGGGAATTTCCTGCCCCTGGCCACCACCAGAGCTGAATGAAGCTGGCAGGGTCTAGGCCACACTGACAATCAGCACTTTTTCATGGCAGGCATCAGGGCGTCATTGGGCTGCTGCGGACCGCTGGGGCTTGCCTATCTCCCCAGGAGCTGGAGGATGTTGGGACAGAACTGTGCAGGTGATGACCTGAGCATCTCTATTTATGGGTCCAGGAAGGCAGTGGGGCTGCTGGGAGGGTCAGATCAGCTAGGCGGGACTGAAGAGGGAGAGCCTGCACCCAGTGGCCTGGCTTTCAGAAGTGCCCCCCTCAAACCCAGTTACAGGAGTACCCAGAAGAACAATCAGCAAGGGTGTGCGTGTCTTGTGGGCTTGGTTGGCATTAAGGGAAAGAGAAGAGCAGGTCTGGGCTGTGGCAATGGGTGAAGGCTGGGATTGGGTGCTATCAGTGGTATGTCCATCCTGTCCAGGGTACGGGTGATAGTCGTGAGACTTCAGACCTATCTGTTGGGACATCTTAGTCTCCCAGCCCCAGTCTCAGGTCCCTACGCTGGTCTGCAGTATCCCAGGAGAAAAGTACTATTACTGAACCACTCCCCGAAAGATGGAGGAATAAGGAATAAGTCACTCACAGGGGCAATGGGATGAGGGGATGAGGGCCCAAGACGATGGAAGCTGGCCTTGGTTGGCTTTGAAGGGCTTCCTGGGGTAGGTTGGTTTAGGACTGCACCCAGGCAGACCTATTGGTTCCAGTGAAAGATAGGGAAACTGAGGCAGCATGTGGACAGCAGGGTCTGGAACCAGCCATCCCAAAAGACTTTTGCTTTACTGTGGTGGGGCTAACCTGAGCTGCTGGCTGGGCTGAGGTGTGGGAAACCAGTATAGGTGAATTGGGGTGGGGGGCTGGCGGTGCTTCCAGAATGATCCACCCCAGAAATGATACATTGCCACCTGGGGGCTGTGACTTCCTGAACAGGAAGAGTCACAGGGTCACTTGGGTGTCTTCTTCCCCCAGCTTACCCTGGGAGGGGCCTGGCTCTAGAGTGGAAAGACAGAGCTAGGGAGAGTGAAGACACTGTCCAAGGACAAGGCTATTCACCCAGCTTTCCTCTGTAGGGAAAGTCATTCCTGTAGCTTTCCCCAGCCAGGATGCTTGCTCCTGCAGCCTACCGGGATCCAGGACCACCTTGGATCCTAGACCTCATGGGTTCCCTTCTATAGCTACTGGCTGTCGGCATTTCCTTCTGTCTTGAGACAGGCCAGACATGTCACAGGTCTGCTGTGTTGTGAAATATGAAACTGGAGGGGGGGGTATGTGCATGCTAATGGATATGTGTGTGTGTATGTGTTTATGTGTGTGTGTGCGTGTGTGTGTGCATGCGGGCATGTGTGTGTATGTGTGTGTGTGTGTGTGTGTATGAGCTCGTTTCCTTGACCTGAGTCACAGTCACGCCCCATATGTGAAACCAGACTCCAGGCCGCCTGCAGCTGGGACTCCTGCCTCAGGGCTGGGTGCTGCTGGATCAGCTGTTTAGGGCAGTCTTTGTAAGAATACCCAGGGCACTGGGAGGGGCACATAAGAAGGTAGGCAGCTGAAGGACCCAGCAAGTTCTGACAGCTTCTCTCTGCCTCCCTGTCCCCGCTCCCAGGCTGGCATCCAGGGCGGACAGCGAAGGCCTGAGGGCATGGTGGCAGGCAGGGGCTGACCTCGGACAGCTGGACTATGATGGACGTTGTGCCCTGCAAGTAGTGAGAGCCTCCCTCTTGTACACTATGCTGGAGTTCTAAAGGTCCTCAGCTCCTGTCCCAGATCCTGGAGCAGCAGTTGCCCATCCTTTCTAGGGCTATATCTTCCTCAGAATCAACCCAACCCATGGGGTGTGTCCTGTCAGTCCCCAGGGTGGGGGTGGGGCATCAGTCCTGGTGGGCGGGACTTTGCGGCTTCTGGGTGCTGCAGTCCAGGCATCCCACAGATCTCTCTCCCCTACAGGCTGAAGCTGCTGGGAATGCAGACGTGGTGGCCCTGCTACAGAGCTTCACGGACAGGGTCTGTGCCCAGCCCCAGCCCCACTAAGTCCTGGACTGGGCTGATGTCCCCTCAGTGAGCTCCCATTGCTCTGCAGCTGGATCCTGGCACCTACTATCCCAGAGTGTTCTGAGACAGCCTGAGGAGTGGACAGACACATTGTCCCAAGTCTTTCGTGGGCTCTGGGAGGAGCGCAGTCTGATGGAGACACAAGCCGCTGGGGCTTCATACAGGCAAGGCTCACCTCAGTCAGACCTTCACCCTACCCAGTTTTGGGCTGGGAGACGGGGAGGGCCTAGGCCCCCCAGCTCACATCTGTTCCCATCGCATTATTTGGCGCCTCTGGAGTTTTGAGAGTGACTGGGCTAACCCTATCTCCTGAGAACAGCTGGACTCCATACACAGAGCGTCTGGGGTGGAGTAGGGGGAGCCCTGCCTCTAGACACATCCTCTGTACCTGGGCCTCTATACCTCCTCAGTAGACCTTGCTTCCTGGAAGTCCTTGGTTCTCAACCGGCCATCCTGCTGCAGCATGGGGTCTTCCTTACTGCCCAAGGGACCTCGGGCACATACCAGCTGCGTCTGCTAAACTGCTTCCCAGCCTGTTGGCATGAGCAGAGTGTCAATAAAGTTGTGGGGACAGCTGCTGCTTGACCTGAATGGGTCTGTGGGCTGTGACTGTGTAAGCATGTGGGGAGGAGGCCCCAGGCTGTGGGGCAGAGAGCTGTCTCCACAGCAGACAGCAATCCACTTAAGCAACCGTCCTTAGGCTGGCCAGGCAAGGTAGGATAGGGTGATATGGGGAAGGCCTGAGTAAGTCCTGCCCCACTGCCATCCCCTCGGGCAGCTTTTGCCCCATCGGAACGTCCTGATTCTTCTCATCTGGAACTAAGTTACTTCTCCCAGGGGCTGAAGGGGAGTGACAGGAAACCTTGGCATTCTGGCAGATACCCCCAAGCATGGGGCATTTCCAGCTTCCACCTTGTTACTCTCTGTGTCCTGGACTGCCTATGTGATCTTGACACTGGTAGGAGCTGCAGGTTTTGGCTAACACACAATGGGACATACTTTAGGGAGGGGGCTCCTGCTCAGCCCGCAGTACACACTGTAAACATCTAGCAAGGACGGCCACCCCAGGCTAATTCCTCAAGTGTGAGACATTAGCCAGATCTTCTGCCACATACAGTCCTCACACTCTTCCTTGCCAGAAGCAAGGAGCTGCCCTGAGCCTCAAGTCTCCTCTACCTTGTGCCTGCATGAGGGTGCACATTTGTCCTTTGGGTCCCTAGACAGGAAAAATCCCAGGCCCCCATGAGAATGTACAACCTACAGATGATGGGCAGACCCCGAGAGCCGACCCTTGGCATTTGGGTGAGCCAAGCTGAGGCTCCCCTACCCACGCCTTAGGCTCTTCAGCCTGGTTCCCAGGCCCCAGCAGACACTGCCCTGGCAGCCTCCCAGCTCCTCACCCAGACAGGTGTGCTCAGACCTTGCACAACCTGGCAACACCACCTGAGCACAGCAGGGCCCAGAAGCCTTTGCCCCACACCTCAGTGAATCCCTACTGAGTGGGTGGAGAGGGACCAGAGGGCATGAGCGTCAGAAGTCCTGATATCACCTGTGGGCTGAGACTTCTAGGTCCAAAGCAAGGTGGTGAGGCTGTCAGACATGCCTGAGGAAGGTGTGGAAGGTGAGCTCAGCCTGCTGTCCACGAGCAGGCCTTCACTCTTCTCCCAAGGGACTGGCAGAGCCATTGCTTAGAGTACACCACACTCAGTAGATTGTGCAAGCAAGCCCAGGGGCCTCCCTTCCCCCATTCTGCTGGATCCCCAGGGCCTTCCGCAGATGTTAAGCTGCCAGCCGGGAGAAGTCTGTTGGTCACACAGGTTCTGCAGAATTGGGGTAACAAGGGTTAGGGTGCTTCAGCACTTGGGCAGGAATAGGGACTTCTACTAGGCCTGACAGCCAGACCTGGTTCTCAGGGACCTCTCTTCAATGATGAAGAAATGCAGCCTCACATCAGACAGACCCTGGGCTGGCTTCACAGGCTCTGACTGTGCAGAAACAGGGAGGAAGGCAGGTATTCCATGACTACATTCTTCTGAGGGCCACGGATAAGGTGCTTAGAGAGCACGATCCATACATGTTCCAACACTTTGGGGTCCTCACATGTTCTTTCCAGCCCAAAGAAGAGCACTGGGTCATCCTTCCATCTTCCAGATAAGTAAAGGACAGGGGAACACTGGGGTCCCGTGCTGGCAGCTGCAGAGCTGAGGTGATTATGGCTGCCCTAAGACCAGACTCCTGATTGGATAAGGTGTGGAACTCTATGGCCCTCCTCACGAGTGGGAGGAGGGCTTGCTGCTGTTTTCCACACTGGTAATTTCCCTTTAGGGAGACTCCTCCAGCGCCAGGGTTATCTCTCCAGCGCATCTCCCTTTCATCACACCCTCTCCTTTTTTCTCAGCGTTTTCTCTTCTATAATCAGTCTCACGGGTTGAGAGCCCTCCAGGCCACCCCAACCCCTCTCACATATACTGGCGATCTCTCTCAAGGTTCCCCTTCTAGTCGCAGTATTTCCTGTTGTGAGAGAGCCATAGGGGCCTGTCGTTGTCACCTGCCTCCACAAAGTCCCCTCTGAGGCACAGTGCCCACCTTTGCCGAGGAAAGGGAGCCCACTCAGGCTAGGTTGCTGGTGAACGTTTTGTTTGTTTGTTTGTTTGTTTTTCCTGTCCTGCTGTTCCAGAGTTTCTCACTGAGCACAGGAGATGACTTCCAGTCTGTGTGCCTGGTGAGATTCGATTCTTGTATGCTTCTTAGTCCATGCCACTGCGCCTCTCTCAGGCTGTTTACTCAATTGCAAAATGAAGCACAAAAACCTTCACTATTCGGCCTACACCGCATCACTGAAAGGTCTAGGGACTCCCTCACAGCCCAGTGACTGCCTCCTGACTGGGCCCAGCTCGGAGGACACTGGCGTTCCCTGGGCTGTCTGGGCTGGACTTGAATAAATTATGACAACCTCCTGCTGGTCCTTAGGGGCTTAAGTTTTGAGAGAAGGACCATCACCTCCAATCGCTCTCCATTACCTATAACACTGTCCTTACAGCGCGCTGCACTGGTATGGGAGGGACCCTTGTAGGCTCAGCGTCTAAGACGGCAGGGCGCCTGCAGGTGAGGAGCACACGGGGCCCTTTGGGCTGGGGACAAGGTCCCTACCAGCTGGCGGAAGGACCCAGACTAGGCTCGCTCCGCCCCAGGTCTGGGAAGCAGAAACTCACCGCAGCCCCCCCACCCAGTTTCACTTTCTCTTTGTTCCCTTCTTCCCCTCCCACGGAGTTCTCTTTGAAGCGAGTCCGCTGTGCGGGCGTGTCCGGTCCCGCCCCCGCGAGGTTCGGTGCGTGCCCTGCCGGCTTGGCCCCTTGACGAGCTTTGCAAACCCGGCGCTCGGAGTTCCAGCGGGTGCGGCCCTTGCACCGACCCCGGCCAGGTGCGCCAAGCTGGGCGCCGGGTGCGGCCGG